GAACTGTGGCTTTGCAATATAGCTTGATATCTGTTATTGTGATACTTATTTTGAATTCAGAGACAAAGGGAGAGGGAGAGACAGAAACATCAATGATGAGAATCATTGATTGGCTGCCTCCTGCACGCCTCCTTCTGGGGATCAAGCCCACAACCTCAGGTATGTGCCCTTGACTGGAATCAAACCCAGGACCCTTCAGTCCGCAGGCTGATGCTCTATCCACTGAGCCAAACCAACCAGGGCATATTTCTTAATAGTAGCCATCCTAAATAGGTGTGAGGTGGCATTTCATTGTGGTTTTGATTTGCATTTCCCTAATGACTAGTGATGTTGAGCATCTTTTTATGTGCTTCTTGGCCATTTGCATATTTTCTTCCAAGAACTGTCTACATAAGTCCTTCGACCATTTTTAAATCTACCCCATTCTTTAAATGCTCATGATATTTCACAATATAGACATAACATAGTTAGGATCCTTTTATGAACATTTACATTCTTTTCAGTTTTTCTCTGATATAAAGTGGTATACTAAACATCCTTCTATATAATTCCTTATACATTTGTGGATATTTGTCTATACATTTATAACACACTGATCATGTATTTTATAGGAGATCACCTATGTGATACTTATAACCAAAAAAACTCACCAGAATTAGGCTCACAGGATATCTGCAATTTTTATTTTAATCAGTCCTGCCAAACTGCTGTCCAAAATGATTATACCTATTTGCACTCTTATAAGCACTCCATGACTACCCGTTTCCTCACTTATTATATATCTATATGAAAATCTTCTGGCCAGTCACTTGTCTTAATATTTGGGGGAATTGCTTTGCATAGAAATGTATAATTTTAATATATTCACACACATCAAGATTCACACGTATAAAGTTTAGATCTTTTTTAAAAAAAATATATTTTATTGATTTTTTACAGAGAGGAAGGGAGAGGGATAGAGAGCTAGAAACATCGATGAGAGAGAAACATCGATCAGCTGCCTTCTGCACATCTCCTACCAGGGATGTGCCCGCAACCCAGGTACATGCCCTTGACCGGAATTGAACCTGGGACCTTTCAGTCCGCAGGCCAACGCTCTATCCACTGCCGGTTTCGGCAGTTTAGATCTTTGATCCACTTGAAATGTATTCTCATAAAGGGATATAAAGTAGGAATCTAAAGTATTTTTCAAATGGATAGCCAACTTGCCATTGTAACAATAATTACTAACATTTATTGAATAACTCTTACTTGTGGCAGGTACTGTTCAATCTAATCCCATCTTATTTGGGTTGTTTTGTGGATTAAACAAAATTCCCCTCCCCCCAAATGTTATTGATTTTAGAGCAAGAGAAAGGGAGAGGAAAACATGAGAAACATCCATCAGTTGTCTCCCACATGTCCCCTATTGGGGGTCAAGCTGGCAACCTGGGCAGGTGCTGGGTGTGGCTCAGTTGGCTGAGCAAGGTCACTGATTGGATTCCAGTCAGGGCACGTGCCCAGGTTTCGGATTCGATTCCTGGTCGGGGTGAGTATTGGAGGAAACCGATTGCTTTCTCTCTCACATGGATGCTTCTCTCTCTCTCCCTTCTCTCTCTAAAAATCAATAAAAATATATTTAAAAAATATCTATTCTGATAATGCTATTTATCCAATTTAAATTTTTTTTTTAAATATACTTTATTGATTTTTTATAGAGAGGAAGGGAGAGAGATAGAGAGTCAGAAACATCGACGAGAGAGAAACAGACCAGAGTGGGGTGAGTATTGGACGAAACCGATTGCTTTCTCTCTCACATGGATGTTTCTCTCTCTCTCCCTTCTCTCTCTAAAAATCAATAAAAATATATTTAAAAAATATCTATTCTGATCATGCTATTTATCCAATTTAAATTTTTAATAACTCCTTACTGACCTCAAGATCAAGTCCAAACTCTTTAGCAAGTCACATAAGTCCCCTGCTCCCTCCCACCTCGTAACTCTAGAGTCCCAGATTTGGTACAGATAACTTCTCCCTATGTTCTAGTTATAAAAATCTCCTGGCAGCTGTCTGAACAGGTGAAACACATTCATTCCATGTAATATCTGTCTCCATGCCTTTGTTTATGTTTCCTGCACCTCATCTTCTTTACCTCATTTGCTAGGCAAGCACCTATTTATTTTTAAAGATTAACTCAAACATTACTACCTCTAGCCTTTCCTCCCTCCCTTTCCCAACCAAGTAGAAAGAAATCATTCTCTCCTCTTTGGTTTCTAGTTGTCATACTTTTATCCTAGCATATTATTTTACTGTAGTTATTCATCTACATGTTTCCCTTACCCAAGATAATAAGAGTGTCCTGAGGGTAGGACCATATCTTATTAAGTTCCGAGTATAACCTTAATAAGAATTGTTGAGTAAATAATATAAAACAACAACCATGGAAGTTGTGAGCAGTCATCTGATTTATAAAAAGATGTAACAAAATTTTAAATGATACAAAATATCATTTTCAAAACAACATCAAAATCATTTTCAAAACACCACCAAAAAGTGAGTGTATTTAAGTTCTCAGCTCATAACAGCAAATGTGTGCGTAGAGCAATAACACATGTTGTAGCATGTTTAATAAACCCGCAAAAGAGAAATTTGGTTGAAGGAAAGCAGAGGAACTTTGTCTTTTAAGTATTAGAATCGAGGGGCTCCATAATCATCTGGCATCCGCTCAATGTTGTACCTAATCAGGAAAAAAAATTAACACTGGTAAGAATGGTGGGTCCAGGAGCCACCTAAAAACCCATTCTTTACTGACGGCGATGCTCTTACCCCCTCACTGTGAATCCTTTTTGTCAGTCAGAACATTTTAAAGAGATACCACAGTGAGTGATCTGAAGCAAAATGCTGACTATAATGTATTTTCTTTATTCTTCAAAGTCAGAAAGTTACCAACGGGGGGAGCTGGGCACTGAGTCCAGGTAAGCGCAACTCCCTCGCCCATATTATTCCCTCTATATTGTGCTCTCCAGAGGCTGAGAGGCTGGGCAGTATCAGTCTGAGGACTGCCATGGGAACATTCAAGAAGGATAAAGAGCAGCTTTAAATTTTTTTTTTTTAAATAGGCAGTTTCCCAGAGGGGTGCTAATCACATGCAATAGGCTTTTAAAATAAAAATTTCTGGCCAAAAAGATTAGTTTGATTTAAATTACTGCTTTGCATTTAAAGCAACATGTCACTCTGTTTCTTCTGTTAATCATATTGTAACAATGTGAATGTCTGCCTCTTTCCTAAATCCTACCTTATCTTTTGCCCTTGTTCTTGTTATTTTGTCTCACGTTTTCAAATACAACTATGTAAGTATTTGATACAACAATCTCTTTTAAATTCTTCTATAATCTGACCTCATTTTTAATTGATATCAACTATATACTTTTAATCACTTCCCCAAGAGGAAGTTCTCACCTATGGTTAGAAATGTACATGATGGGAACTCCAGGGATCTTCCTGATTCTTCGTTTAAGGTCCCGGTCAACTGTGGCCACAATATAACACTTGTGCTATAAGAGACACACATAAAGTTTATTGAGTCTACTTAGTGATACTATAATGGCACAATCACTGTCCAGTCTGAAGAATTAATTCATTTTCACAGTACACAGCAAAGGTTATAACAATCTGTAGAGTAGATACTATGATTGAGGAGCTCATGTTTATAAAACATATTAATAAGTTGCCCAGGGCTGAATGTAGCTCTGAGAATCTTGAGGGGGAGAAGACAGAAAAGCTAAAAGTTGTAATCCATTTTTTGTCTCATATGTGGAAATGACTTTTTACATCTGGGGTAGAAAATTCCTTGATTTTGGGAAAATACCCCAAGGGACTCTATGCAAAGGCAGAGTAAGTGCCTTAGATTGGAGGGCACAGCTTCTGCCTTTCTCAGGATTATAAGGCCTACTCTGAGGCCTTCTAGTGGTGGAGGTAGGCTGCCCTCTTGGTCCTGAAGCCAGACTAGGATCTCCAGGACAAGTCTTAGCCTAGCAACTCTGAAAGCAATATGTACTGCCATCTGCGAGGTAATTTATGTTGTGCTTTACTTCTCTCATACCCAAACCTCCCACTGAGTTTTATAACAAGCTGTAGCCTGATGTCAGCTGTGCTGTGGGAAATTAGGGAAATGCTGGACACGCCCATGAATGGAGTTGCTAAAGGGCTGACCATGTGGTCATTCAATGAAGATGATTACCCACAGCCTAGAGAGGCTCTTATAAGGGCAAACAGTAGCAGAGGTTCTTGTGGTGGCTGCCAAGAAATAAAAAACCAACTGATTCCAGGGTCTTGGTGAGCTGGCACCCTGGGAGACTTAGATGCAACTGAGAAATGCTTCTGGGTTGGGCACGGTAGAGAGGAACAAAATTCCTTTGTGGGGAGTAAGTGGAATGGAACCTTATTTTAGATTCAAAGAGAGGTGAAATCTGGTATAAACTGACCCTTGAAAAACACGGGTTTCAACTGCTTGGGTCCACTTATATGTGAATTTTTTCAATAAATACCTGTATTGTTTTTGTTCTGCAGTTGGGAGTCTGTAGATGTGAAGAACGGACTGCATGCATTGATCCACATCATATCTATCTATCTATCTATCTATCTATCTATCTATCTATCTATCTATCTATCTAATCTATCTCTAAAAGGCTAAGCCACCCTCTGACCATCCGGTAGGTATGACACACACTGACCACCAGGGGGCAGACACTCAATGCAGGAGCTGCTGAGCTGCGGTGACCTGGTAGCGGCAGTTCTCAGGTGATGCACCCCAGAACCAGAGAGGAGGGAGCCCGATTCCAGGATGTGTCACCCGAGAACTGCCCTCTCTCAATCCGGGACCCCTCCGGGGATGTCAGAGAGCCAGTTTTGGCCAATCCCTGCCGGCCAGGCTGAGGGACCCCCACCTGCCAGAGGGACCCCGCTCACTGCGCAGAAGCCCTTCAAGCCATGGTGCTGCCCCAGGTGTGGCCGGTTGGAGAGGGACCATGAGAGGTTGGCTCCAGGGCATGTCTGGCCTGTCTTGCCCAGTCCCGCCCTGCAGGCCACCTTCTAATTAATTTCCTTTCAATGTGCATGAATCCATGCTTTGGGGCACTAGTTTTATATAAGAGACTTGAGTATTTATAGATTTTAGTACCTGCAGGGGGTCCTGGAACCCAATCCCCCATGGATACCAAGGG